ACCCCCCCCCCTAGGACCCCCCCTTCTCCCCCCGACAATCCCTCGAAAAACCTCTCCGAAATCTTTTGACCATTATAACTCTTTTAATAAGTACGTAGTTTCTGCTTATTCACTTCTTCATAACAACAGCAGCAAGCCCGTGACTGGACACACTGCAATCGACAATAAAGGCCAGCTTTCTGTTAAAACATGTGTCGGATCGCTTGCCGCTAAGTGGTGTGCCTTCCTCCAAATCGTAAAACAACCACAAGACTGCTCTCCCACTAAACGCTTGCCACAACCGATAACAAAGCTTTCGTCTCCAAGCGTTGTCTTGTTCATCATCGACGTTGTAGTGCTAGTAGTACTGCTGACTACGACTACGTCATCCAGACAACAAAAATCAGCCAGTTGAAAGAACAGTGCTGCTGGAGACGACGCCAATGATGTTGCGGCCCCACTTCCATGGCTGACTCCTGCTGCTGTAGTTGTCATTCCGCTACCACTGCTTCCAGATGAATGATGAGTGCTACTACTGGAATTTTTAGTTTGTGAAAGCGTTGTATTCGTATTTGAAGAGAGAAAGATCTGTTGCAACGTCGATCGTGTTTTACTACCCTTTGGACCAGCATTGCTTCCTGTCAATGACCTCCTCCTTCGTCTTTTGCTTAGATCGTAATGCGCCGCGCGACCTCGATGCGATAAGCTAGACGTGTAGATCTTTTTATCAATCGTGCAAACATTCTTGCGACCACCTCTGACTAGACTAGTAGTAGACTCGACTGCCTTCCTAGCGGTGTCGTCAACCTTTTTTAGAGGATTGCTTTTCTTCTTGTCGGCTGCCACAACGAGCGCGAGGGACTCTGCCTCAATACGGAAGACAGATCGAAGGATCGTCAACTCCTCTGGTCCTCCGTACCTGCGGATCAGCTCAATTTGCATGTCTGCTACGCCAAACACCCTGCGCTGGTCGTACATTAAGACACCGCCAGACTCTACGCCTATAACCAGGTACCCACCACGGGTACTTGTCGTGCATCTTGTCGCGAAGCCAACCTCAGGTGGTAAAGGACACTCTAACGGCGGCGGGAAATCCGGGATGTGGGACTGTGATTGTGGTGGTTGGAAATGTCGTTGTCGTAGTAGATGTACAGATTCGTATTTGTACGTAGCATTTTGCAGCACAAAACTAAGCAAGGGAACACGAGTAGTCATCAATATGAATATGCTCTGAAGCAGAAAGAACAGTGCAGAGAAAACGAGCAAAAATCCAGATATCTTCGAGTTATCAATATATTACACCAAGATGCGAATCGTTGTCCCGCATGCAGCAACGTTGCCTCGCCACCGTGCAACGCACTCTCTCTTCTTCGGGCCGTCAGTGCACAGGCGGCCACGATATGTTAGCCTTCCAAATTTGGTGGACTCACCAGGTGTGCTAGAACTTGACTTGTACGTCTCGTCTGTCTCTGTCATCTCCTCAGTTGTTCTTGTTCTTCCACTAGCTGCGCTACTTGTACTTCTTTCTTGCAGAAGATTCAGCTCATAGACACAAGCAAGTTCATTCGGCAATTTGTTCTGCGTCGTCATACCACCTCCACCTCCTGGAGGTTCCATGCTACTGCTCCGCTTGCACCATTTTGCAAGCACACGCTGTACAAACGACTTATTCTTGTTATTTTTTGTTGCAGAAGCATTCATCTCTGTCTCTCCTTGAGGTTGATACGACCGTCCAAATGATGACTCCTTAGCTTCATGATCTCCCATAGGGGATGCTGATGCTTCGTCTTCTCCTTCCACGTCCATTTTCTCATGTCCCCCAGCATCACCATGATCAAAAGCATACTCATCGTCATCCTGCAAGTTATTGTAGTGCTGATTCGGCAAACCTCCTAGCCCTCCAGCACCCTCTCTACTAGTACTACCAGTGGTACTGGTAGCAGACGAAGATGATCCTCTTCTCGGAGTTGTCGTAGGAGCACCTGGTTTATTCATCTTGTTGTTGCTGCCAAGGGTATTTCCATCTCTATTATACCCGCCAAAAAAAGCGCAGTCCGCTGTCCAATGCAGCACCACCAGTACTTGACTTCCTTGCCTCGATACGAGTTCAACATGCGGCAAAAGCATGTCAAAGTAGGGTTTCCAGAAGGGGACGTGGGGAACGGTCGCTATCAACGTCTCTGCTTGTTCTTGCGGTATTGAGATTGGTAATTCTCGGTCGTAGAGTTTCAACTCCATTCTGCGTGGTCGGACGGCTCTTGCAAACAACAGAATCGATTGTTGCTCCGGCGCCTGTGGAGCAGATATATCTCCATTGTAGTGCGGTTCTTTAAGCGACGCGACGCAGCAGCCTGCGTCGACCGCAGGTGCATCAGCAAAAACGCGGTGGGCTACGAACATTGTTTTTGCGTTTTAGTCTTTCTTCCTTAGATGATCGTTAGATCTAGTAACTTCTACATCATGACTTATAATTTTGAGACATCAATTTTTTCGATTGGCATTTTCGTCGGTTTTCTTCAACTTATTTAAAGTTCAACTCTGTTTCTCTCCTACAGTGCTCTAAGCAACTTTCACGCCATTCTCAATGTTTGACCTCTTCTTGGTCTTGTTGTGCGCTCTGCTTTTCGAATTAATTTCACTCTCACTTCTTGTCACGGCGTGGTTTCCTTCCATCGTCTTCCTACGCCAACGGATACGAAATGTCTTGAAAGTAACAAACTGCATCTAGAAAAACGGTCGAAACAAACATGTGCTTGCAGGAAGTATTGTAGTTTGGTGGCAATGATTATCTTCACATAAAGTTAAAGATGATAGGTGGATAAAAACAACGGTAATTATGAAAGGCAACAAGTGCGAGTGCCAGCAAGGATATAAAAAGTGTAGTTGTGTTTCAGGGGTCGCAGAAGGAAGACTGATGCAGAAATAAAGAAAGGGAGCAAGCAGAATAGTGATAGGGATACGCAATCGAGCTATAAGAATAACAGATTCATATGCTTCTATAACTTAAACTTCTTAACACAAGCACACGATGATGCAAATCATCTGGCGCAACAAGAACTGCAAATATATAGAAAGTGAGGGCTCGTCTAGTATCAGCGAGAGCCCCTCCAAGTGTATCATGATAATCAGAGTTTGTCTTCAATCATATCTATGACAATAGCGCGAACTGAATGCAGTGCTGAGAAATGGAAATCACACCGCACAGACAGCAACAGCATTGACCGACAGTCTGCGACAGAGCCACTTACTGTGCTCTACAAAAACTACCGCGACCAGTGGTCAGAAGTGGGGCCGCCAGTATGTGATCTGATCAGAAAATTGAAATCGTTATCGTATAAGTAGTATTAGTAAGCTATTTTGTGAGTCCGAAATCTTAAAAATCCGAAAATGAAAAACGACAAATGGAAAAATGATATTAACATTGTAGAAGTCATGGAAGGAAAAAGTGCACTCACACTCAATAAATTAGCTAAGATTCAAGTGGGAAAGGAGCCATTTTTTTGAGTGTGAGTGCACTTTTTCCTTTGCCTTTCATAGAAGTGCTAGTAGTGTTATTCACGTAGACGTATCTATGTCTACAGTCTACTAACGTACTTTACTTACACCAACTTCATCTTCTTGCTGCTGGTACAACAGGGGTCTCGGGGACGGCGTTGGCGTGCCTAACATTGCTTCGTCTACGCCATGACTTGTGCCGTTACCTATAATTAAAGCGCAGCATTCCTTGGTCATCATGACTCTGAACGGAAGAAACCCCCTTCAAGGCTCTCCCCTTTCCCTTCGTTTTCTCCTGTTCTCTCAAGGGGTCGCCTCTTCGATCTCAGTGACCAACCCCAATGACCATTGAAAGTTGAGCCTTAATATAATGCGTTCAAGCGTATTAACCTCCTCTTTCTCCTGGTCATCCGTGTCACTATCTGCTAGCTCTGCTAAGATAGCGAGTCGTGGAACTGGAGCTACAGGCACCGTATGATGCAAAGGGTCTAAAGGGTGAAATTGAGATAATTCGCCAGTACTTGAAAAAGTAGAAGAAGACCAAGGACTGCTAGAAATTCCCTCGAGAATTTTGAAATTCCCACCCCCTCCCGCTGAAGAGGGAGACCATGCAGTGTTCTTCTTCATGAGTGAGCCAAGTTGGTCTTGCGCCTGAACAAGGTCATGCGCACTGCGGCCACGTGTGTTCGGCAGCGTCGTGTCTGCTCCGGCCCCGACGAGCAGACGACAGGCTCTGCGGTCGTTAGCCATAGCCGCCGCATGTAACATCGTGTTCCCATCCGCGTCCACCACGTGCACTAGACTTGCCAAGGGTGATTGTTCTGATGACATAAGCTGAAAACTTACTGGCTGACCCTCCAGTTGGACGTGAGGACGTGTTGATGTTGATGAGGAAGAGTCGGTTTTTGAAGGACTAGAACCTCTAGGCGTCGAAGAGTTGGCTTTGAGACTGCTAGACCGTCGAGGAGGAGAGAAGTCCTCAGGCAGAAGCCTGGATGATCTGCTTTTGTTCGAACGACGGGCAGAAGTACTACCAGTACTACCAGAACGGGGAGTCGATGAGATAGTCGCTCTCGCTGTCGCTCCATTTCCTGAAAGACCCTGCACTCTAGTCGGTTGATCCCAATCAACACACCAATTCAAGTCTTCTGGTCTCGCGGCAATTTGTCTAACCCAAGTCGAGAGTACTGGCTGTGGGAAATCTGTCCACCGAACGTTGAGACTTCTGATCATTCTTCGAATCTTCGCTGCCCCGGTACTATGTAGAGCGTATTGTAAAGCTTCAGCAGATGTCATTCTTGATGCCTTCATACGGGCATTCAGGTCCTCGACCTTAGTCTTGGCTGAAGTTAGTGCTCGAGAAGAGGTATTCCACGAAGCAGCTGTAGAAGCAGAAGATGTTGATGTTCCGAGTTGTACTTTTCTTGGTGTTGAACTTGGTATTGAAGCGGTTGCACCTACTCCTGCACCATCTTGCCTAATCATACTGCTAGGTGTCCTGGCACTAAATCCTGCGTCTTGCCTGATAGCATTAGGTGTTCTAGGACTACCAAGTGTACGAGGTGGTTTACCGAAGGGAGTTGTAGGTGAGAGAGGAGGCAATAGATTTGCGTCGCCGTCATCCTCCTGAGAGGCTCCTCGCTGCGAACGTTTTTTGAGGTCATCCCGAGATAGGGACAAAGCGTCTGATCCTTGTGCTGTGAGGCGAAACGTGCGACTACCACTAGAAGCTCTGGCGCTGGTAGGTGCTTCTACAACGCTACTAGCAGCTCCTCCGGTAGGTAGAAAGTCGCTTCCACCTCCAAATGCAGACGAGTCCCTACCCAAGGAGTTTTCTTTTTCCAATCCGTGTCCCTTTCCCCCAGCGATACTTTGTGCTTGCTGACGCTGAGTGCTACTATCCACGCTCAGTTGCCTCATCGGTTTGAGAAGACCAGGAACATCACCGGAAAACTGAGGCGGAGATGCTGATGCTGATTCTCGTCTAGTGTCTGGTGCGCTATTAGACGCTGCAGCTGCAACGTTACTTCTCTTGCTACTATCTACAGGTGGCAGAGTGGTGACGACTCGAGGTACAACTGGCTGATTGTCCCCCTGCTGTCCACTACTACTAGGAGGTCGTGGTTCCTGAGAAGTGTTCTCAAAGTGCATGCTCGCGTAATTCGATCGTGCTGGGTCGCCTTCTGGCCAACTGCGCGGAGGATCCTTCACTACACTAGATGCCGATAGTGGTACTGAAGTGGTGAAAAAAGATGTTGGATTTTCTTCGGTATCGTCTGAAGGCACAGAAACGCCAGTTGTACGTGGCATGAGAGATTCTTGAGCAGTCTGGTGCGTGTCTCCCGTTTGCTCTCTGTCCTCCCTTGGAGGAACGCCATGCGGAATATGTTCCAATGAAGATGCAGCGCCTCCTCCGAGCATGCCCCCTGTCAACGCAGGAGAAGTTCGTTCATGAGACGAGTCCTGTTCTAATGATTTTGATAGCATTTTCTCGCGTGGTTCCTCTTCGAATCTTCTGCGTCTCAACTCTTTTCCCCCATCAAACTGCTCAGTCACAGGGGAGGCACTAGCTGCCACAGAAGATGCTGGGACGAGTCCTTCTTCTATCGTATCTGGTGTTTTCTCAGAGTCGAATCTCGGAAGACGAAGACCTTCTTTGATTGTAGTCGTGGAAGTCTTCATTTCGGAAAAACCTCTAGTGAAAACTTCTCCTCCTGCTGGAATGGGTGAACAAGAAGGCGATGAGCTTCTAACTGGGGTCATTCTAGGTGAGTGTTGTCCTCGTCCTGTAGATCGAGCTGATATCACAGGGTCAAGAACGACAAAAGATGGCGATGGCACTCGAAGACCACCAGCGGAGGAGGAGGTTCCCAGTAGAGGTTCTTGTTGTGCTCCTACAACTGCGCTGGTGCCCGCGGAACCTGGTGGTAAAGAGCCGCCAGGCGAGCTAGGTGGTGAAAGATGGGCAGAAGATCCAGGAAGCGACAAAATCGTCGTCGAAGGGGTTGTGTGTGCGGCTCGTGGTAGATTTACGATCAGATACCGTTTCTTTTTATGCGAAGTAGTGCTTTGAGGTGAGGTGGGAGAAAAAGCAGCTCCATCTTCATGATCTTCATTAAGACCTTCATGTTCATGTGCAGCTGCAGTTAATGTACTGTTTTTTTCACTACTTCTTATGACCGAAGTAAAGTCCTTCTGCTCTGCTCCTTTCCTTGCCTGAACATGTTCCTGAGTCCTTCCTGCTGTCCCAATCGAGAAAGAAGGACGCCTAGCACGTGGCGCTCTTGCCGACACAACTGGGTGGTCGGACGATGGAGACGATGCTGCAGTAGGCGATGACCCCTGCAAACGGAGGTTCCCAACAACTGCTAAAGTCTCACCTTGGTCCTTCCCCCTAGCACTTCCTGGAACAGCACTCCCTGGTTTAGCTTGCAGTACTGGTCGTGAAGATCCTCCCCGCCTTCTTGGCGTTTGACTAACAGAGGTAGTTGTTCTTGGTGATGCTGCAGCTCCTGTCGGGGATGTTGTCAGGGGCCTCGCTCTAACACCTCCTCGTTGAGGCTGAGGGCTATAACTATTTGCATGAGCATGAGTGCTGGCACTACCACTAGTGGAGGCACCCCTTGTCCTTACACTTGCACTACTAGAAGGTCCTGCTCCTCCTAGTGGTTCTTTTGGTGGTGTAAGAAGAAGTGCATGTTGTTGCTCTTTCGGGTAGTCACCCCACGTATAACCCAAGTCGGTGTCGGATATATTCCCCCGAGGAGGTCGCAACGAGCGCCGTGCTTCTGCGAAAGGCACCAGAAGGTTGATGAGAAGAGCAAGCAGAATGGAGAGCATTTTGATTTTGGCCGGACGACTTGTTGTTCGATAAAGACAAGAGAAGACGATGGTCATTTTCTTTGTCAGAATCGTATGCTTTTGATTCTAGTTCTATCGGATGCAAAACGTTTCGTAAACGGGTCGTTGCTTGCATCCTCGTTCAGCTTCTGGTTTGTAATTGTACTACTATGTTCAATCATGCTTGCATGCTTCCTAATGTTTCTAAAAGCGGGATGAATGGAAAGGTGCAACGTGCTCGTTCCTGGATGTCCTCTTTGAATCCTAAGAACTACAAGAAACAACTGAAACTATCGCAGATTCAGTTCGCAGCTTTGTCACAAGTTTTTCTCGACACGATGACTTCTGACCAGCAACAGATTTCGGCCGAGGCAAGGAAAGGCATGCCGACATCGGTCAAGCTTGGATCGGTGAAGACCAGTTACCGTCGAGTAAGGCAGGTGCTTGATTGCAAATGGGAGTGTAAGAAGGAGAAGCGAACCTTTTCATCTTCAAAGTTCATGCGCAGGCTTTCGGTGATAAAAGATGGGTTTCTACTCTGAGGCTTTTTGAATTCGTCCCTGCTTAGGACTTTCAATTATTGACGACATTGAGTATGCGTCTGTGCTCTTTGATTACGTTTACGACTTCGACTAAGTAGTTCTATAAGTACTTCCAAATTATCTAATAAGTCTTCAAATGAATACATACATAGGTGTTGCTGCATATGAAGGGTTTTCGGTAGGTTATTTATTGCCTTCGGAGTAGGATGTGGAAAGGAGTGCGCCTTTTGCTTTTGATTCTTCAACAAAGGTTCGAAAGGGAAAGGGTCATCAACTGTTTTAAAACGAAAAAAAAAGGACAACTCTAATTCAATACTTCAAAGAAGATTGTCTTTGTCCAAAATATTCGTCAGGAGTTTGCATAAGTTTCTCAAAAATAATTGATTCCAGTTTTCAATCACTGTTCACTCCACCTCCCTGCAGTCACATTTCAAGGAGAGTCCTTGCTGCTCTGATTGATCTGATTCTTGACATTATGTTTATGATGCAGATTTTTGATTCTATTAATACTATGAAGATGCAAGAATTCTTCAATTTCAATCCTTTGGGTCGTTTAACAAACTGTAAGATACAACTCTGCCGTCCATCTTCTTCTGCGCTAACAATCTACCGCAGCTGCCGCTGACCTGTTCCCCAGTGGCCAATGCCGCATGACGTTGCATTTCTCGAGGTGTTTCTCCCCTGTAATTTTCCGCGTCTGACGTTAGAGCAAGAGAGGAAGGTGAACGCGACAGCTACACAAGGTCAGATCTGAAACTGAATGTCTAAGTAACCATGAAACTACTACTCTACTACTTGTTAGCTTTATGACCAAACCACGCCAGCCTTCATAAAGTCCTCTAGCTAATCCGAAGTCGAACACACTAAGTTGCAAGAAAAGGCTAGCTGAACGCTAGCTAAAGTCAGATCTTTATCGCCCTTATTTTTCTTAGGACGCTGTAAATGCGAGAAGGTCTCCCCACCGGCTTAGTTTTAGGTTTACGGACTAGAGGCCTGACGCCTCGATGACCTATATGAGCGAGGGCGTGACTAGACTCCGGTATAACCAGAGCTCAATTAAACACTACCCGAAAGTCAAGCAAGTGATCCGGGGGGGGGAGCCGACTCTCATTTAGTTTTCACTGATCTAGTCAGCTAGGACGAAAAAGATAAAGTCTATTTGTGGACATGTGAAATGCTTATTCATGTTTCTGATTGGGAGACTCCCCAAGTGGATGGGGAGGCGATTATGGATAGAATGATGTCACTGTTTAGAAATCTGCACTTGAAGTGGTTGGTCAAAGTTCTGACTATCTCCAATCTAGTCAACGGGTCGGCTAGGTTCCTGGATGTTGCTATCCAGGTGTAGAAAATGTCCGCGGGGGTCCTCTTCATTCGGTGATGTATCGCTGCGGCGATCTGCTGGCAACTGGGGCAACGAGATGAGTTGCGGGTGCAGGAGAAAACGACGCCCAAATTATCGACGTGGCAAATGAGCAAGCGTCGACCGATCCATGTTTCAAAAGCCTGAAGGGCGACGTGAACGGCGAGCATTTCTCCGACGCCGATGTGGTGCCGCACGCCCGCTGGAATGAGTTCTAGTGGGACTTGGCACCGGAAAGCGAGCGGTTTAGCCTGGGATGTAAAAAGTATGCCCCCTATGTGGAGGCCCGCTGTGCTCTCCCAGGCGGCGGCGTCTGTGTACAGGTGTGCGATCTCCTTGTCTGAGCGCGCCGCCGAAATCTCGTATGTCGCGACGAAAGGGAGAACGGAGACCATCAGCTGGAGCTGTGCGAGGAGAGTCTGCCTCAGCGCTTTCTTTCGGATACGCTTCTGGAACCAGGAAAGATCGGCCCATTCGTCAAGCGGCTTAGCTAAGCTGGTGGCGGAGCGATCTAATTGCGCGACGTGCCTAAAAAGGCCGCGAAAAGACAAGAGCTCCTTGTACTCCAACTGACGGGCGGCCAGGTCGGTCGCGAGTTTACGCCCTAATCGTGCCGCCTCTGCAATCTTGATGCTGTCAATCGAGACGAGGATGGAGTCTTTGATGGTGATTCTGTAGGCGACTCCCAAAACTACTAGTACTTTCTGCGAGCTCGAATGACTTTCGAGCTTTTCGGATGATTGCCACCAACCCATCAGGCCTAAGGCTAGGTCTACGAGAGCGCCGTCGCTCTCAAGTGTCTCTGGCCTGGAGAAAGTATGAATGTCGTCTATATATATAGACGACAAGGTGTAAAGAGAGAGGCAGAAAATGGCCATGAGACACTCGGAGACGGCTACGCAATCATAGACGCTAGAGATGCTGCCGAATAATGCGCACGCGCTATAGATGAGCTGGAAACTTCGCTTCGTCGAAGAGCTAGAACAAGTTGTGGCTGTTGCTGCTTGGATGTCTTTGAGTACTGGCACGGGGAACCAGATCCCGTTCTCCGTGGGAGACTTGACGCCACATTGATAATAAAACTGACGCAAGTCCCGCTTGGCGGATGAAGGTACGAAGCTGTAAGATGCTCCGTTATCGTTGGTGTGCGGCTGCTGCTGCATTCTCTGGGCGATCTCGCGGCGACAGCTCTCGTTTTCCTCGGCTATTCTCAGCAGGTCGCGCTGCTCGGTGATTTCGTGCTGAATGTCGTTTTTGAACCTCATCATTGATGGCGGCCGCCGCTGCGTGGAGACGCAGCGCTCCATAATTTGGATGGACGACCGCGCCCCGACTAGCCGCATTTTTTCGGAAACTTCCATGAGAGCATTTTGGTGACGAAAGTCAATGCAGCAGCGGACTTTAGCGTTTCTTGTAACGGGGAAAGCCATACTGGCTCCAACTTCAGATAAGTCTGCCGGATCGCCGACAACCCAACGACCTGACTCAACCATCTCTTTTTTCTGTCGCCACATTTCTAGAACTTGGGCGGATGAAGCCCAATGCCTCGTTGGCGTGCGAGGGGTGCGCGCTCGAGCTTGTGCTTCTTCTCGTAGGCGCAGTTCTAATTTTTTCGGAGGTAGGGGGTTCCAGAAACCGGATGGCAGGACCGCTCCTGTCATGGGAAAACCCTCCGTCAATTTCTTGACTATCGATAAAATCTCGCGCTTTCGTCGGAAAAGGGATGAGTGCGCTGCCACTGCCGTTTCCAACAAGACTTTTAACATCGTGAAGCGCTTCCCCGTGTACAGGTCGCGGAGATGCGCGGCCATGTTAGTTCGTGTCTCTTCTTCGGCTGCTGCTGTAGCGTCTGCTAGATTTAATAGCCATAAAGCAAGGCGCTGATTCTTGACGAAGATATCCTGCGGGCTGGATGTCTTAAGGTACTCGATGGCTTGATCCATGTAGTCTGGATAGCAGTGCGGAGCGCCCCACTGCCGCGATTTTTCCTGTTCATGAACCACGCGGAAATTCGGCGCTGAGCTGCACTCGGCGCTAATTTCCGGGCCGTTGCTGGTGCTCATGGCGACTTGCTTATAATCCGGCGACCTCAATAAGTTATCTATCTGCTATGATGTATATGTGCGGAGACGCTTCCGACGGTTGAATAAACAAAAAGAGAAAAAAGGGGCTCCTTGGTGTGGGGATTTCCTTGAAACGCGCTGCGAGGTCTGGAGCTGAGAGGCTTTGGATTGGATAAGTAAGTGCGGCGATACATAGGGCATACGCTTGAAAAGCGTAAGAGCGGACCAATGAACGACAGGAGACGCTACGAGGATAGCGCGCGCCTCGGCTAGTTCACAGATGCAACGACCCTCATGTTGGACAGAAGATATGATCTTTGATCTCCTCTCGTTGCGGCTCGTGCTAGTTGCGGCGATGTGTTATGGCTGCTGCTCGTGACTTGAACAAGTGCGTCGATCTAGTTGTGCGGCGGTTCATGATCCGCCTCCGCTGTGTCTCGCAAATATCCCCACTCTCGTCTACTTCGGCGCCCAGCTGCAGCATCTCCTGCAGCTAGACGCGACATATATAAAAAAAAGAACTTGGGTCATATGGAAAGTCTGATGACCATCGCATGTTGCGAGTTGCGCGGGCTCGCTAGCGATGCTCGCCGCCAAAGGACGTCTCCTTTAGTGACAGACCCTGAATCAGTGGATTCGTTAAAAGTAAGTCATGAATTATAAAAAAAAAAAAAAAAGCCAATACGTGATGTAAATAGAAATCAAGTCCGTATGCCTAAGCCAGAAGAAAAAAGGAGCCAGACAAGATGTTCAAGTAAAAGATTGATTAGTTCACGAATAGAGTGCCGCAACCCGGAGCGAGGTAGTAACGGTCTAGCGACATATAGTAATAGAAGAAGAAAAGACGAAACCACGAGTAGAAAAGGAGTAGCCTGAGTCATTAAAAAATATATGATCCTTCTCCTCAGGGCTAGGGATAAATCATGTCCATGCAAGGGAGCGAAGGCTTGCTTCTCTCCGAAAGATCGCGACGAGGTCACGGACTGCTCGCGAACTGCTTCTGGACCTCGACGGGCAGTCCCCTCTCGAATTAAAGTTTTTCGTCCTATTTCTCCTGTGCTGCGAGTTCTGTCAGCTTCTTGTTATCGAGCTTCAGTTTGAAGCGCGTGTTGAGGAAAGCCAGCTTGCTTAAATCGCCTTCATGCGCAGCTTCGCACTTCTTGTCACGGCATTCACCTTTCATCCACTTTAGGCACACCTTGGCTGACGGGTTGCTGTTCGGGCGGCGACTCTTCAAAGCTTCCTTATCGGTGTTGTTAATAGGCTGCGCGCGTTTGAGAGTCGCGATTTCGGCACGCAGCGTGCGCAGCGTAATCTCCATTTCCGCTGCGCTGGCTTTCTTGATTTCCGCGAGTTCGCGGACCATCGTCTTCTTGGTGTCCAATTTCTGCTTGAAGAAGACCGGGAGGTTAACCACAAAAGCGCGGCGCATGGTGCGCTGATAGAACGTGGCGGGGGGATCGTTCGCGACGGTGGGTCTGTTCTCCTTTTTCAGAATGATCGCGACCGTTTCGAAGAAGATGCCAAAGATGACGGCGCGGTCAAGTTGAACTTCATTAGCGATCTGCTTGCTGGAGCCCAATGGACCAGCGACTTCTTTGATGACCAACTTCTGGAGCGTGCGAGCTTGGTCGTCCGTTAGCACTTCCACCACGCGCAAGGCGGCAACGTACGACAGCGGCGACCACGTGATCGCCGCGGGAGTGATCGTGGAGTCTTCCATGCGCTCTGACATAAAGCAGCGGCGCATAAAAAGAAACTCTTTCGAAGAGCAGCCATAGTCCAAGTTGGTAAGGGCGGCGGAGAGCTGCTCCTTCTGAGCTTCGGTCGGGACGCCCAGCCCTCCTTCTTCCGCTGCCACCTGCTGAAAGTTGTTGATTTGGGCTGCTCCGTTGAGAACGACGATTTGCGCGTTAGCTGCAGCCAGGTCTGCAGTGAGCTGATCGACTTGCGCTTGAAGTTCGGCCATTTTGGTATGTGGGACTTAGCTGAGATGACTTGCTAGTGTTGCTAACTATAACAGCTAGTTGAGTTCGAGCACGACGCACGATGACAAGAGAGATGGAAACAAAGTTGCAAGAAGAAAACTTTTAGTTTTAAAAGGACAACCTCCGAAGCGAAAGCAAAGGGAGGGAGGTTAAAATTCAGAGCATGCACCTGACGAGAATGAGGGGTGGAAGCTGTTTTGCTATGGTTTTGGGAAGCAGACCGCTGCTAGCGACGTTTCTCGCACTCTCACTCTAGCGTAGTCACGTCGGACTCCGTGATGAAGCCGCGCTCTCGTAGAGGACAGACGTAACAACTCAAGACAGACTGACTGAAAATTTCATCCGAGGAAGGACGGATAGCACAAGCGGAGGTCACTCTCGTTGGCTAGTAACACTCGAGCCAAAACAACTTAACTTTGTGCCATGAGGTCAGAGGGTGAGTGACTGTGGTGTTCATCGTGATATAACGTGGGCAATGTCACAACGGTAAGGGAAACAGATGCTAGGCAGTGGTAGAGGCGCAAACTGCTTTAGTTTCCAAAAATGTGTGGCGTTTTTATAGGCCATCTGAGAGTAGTAGAGGCTGGTCGTAGAAGAGCTTGCCTGCAATAGTGCTCGCAAGTCGAACTCTGTTGCCAGCGACCAATAAGCTTGCACTTTTCTAGGGGTAGGCCACTTTCTATGGCTGCACATGCTCCTCCTACTCGCACGGAATAATTATTCCATGCGAAACGATTATTCACTTTTCGCTTCACTTCGGTTTCTGGCAGCCCGGCGCAGCGAAGGACTTCGTGCAGGGCGCTGGTTGAGGCGGCTGAAGTCCAACGCTTTATTTTCTCCCAAACGTCTTGTGAGCAGGCATGCACGGGACAGACGACTACTAGACCTTTCTCGGTGATGGGTGCCCATCCACAAGAGCACACCATCTCAATGGTAGCCTTCTGCCCGTGTTGATCCCGTTTACTCGATGTGATGTGGTATATCGCTCGGGAGTCCGTAAGAATTCGGATTGTATGACGCTGGTCGTCGGGCCTCAGGAAGCAAAACCATGCTGCAATAATAAAATTCAAATATTCCACCAAGGTTGCCTGATTTCCGTCCGGGCCAGTTTTGACTGTCGGATGCTGCTCGATGATCGTGGCCGCGGCGAGAATATGTGTAAGCCTCAGAGCTTGCTCCTGAGTCGAAGTCGTTTTGAGGCCTGCGAGTAACGCGAAACCTTCTTTGTAAGCTTGAAGGGCTGCTTGCGAGAGGGGCGCTTCTGCTGCTAAGTGGTTCTTAATATGAGAAAAATAGACTGCCCGACTTTGCGCTGCTTCAGATGACAGGGCGAAGGCTCTGGCTAGCAGGCGCATCGAGTACGCTGAAACGTGCGTTGCCTGAGAGGAAAGCGAACAAGCGGACATCAATTGGCGATACTTCTTTCCTTCTCGTTTATAGGCTTCTATTGTTGATCTGTTCCAGCGAAGTTGCGTCAGGGACGGCAAGGCAGCGGCGCTTTCAGCGGAGGTGACTGCAACTTGGAGCGGGGTAGCTGGCTGGTGTACTGTGGGTGGTGGTGGGTTCTTTCGCACCTCTTCAGCAATCGCTTGGACCACGCGATCCCACGGTAGCGCCGAGCCAACGTCGCGTCTAGCGCTGATGATGCGAGTGGAACGAGAATTACTGTCCCCATCTAAGGCTCTGCTGAATTTCCTCCGCTTAGTTATTTCGCTGCCGTTATCGTCTTCAACTGGTCCTGCTATAATGTTGTCGGCGGCGACTAGGGCTTGAGAAGCTATGTCCTCTCTGATGGCAAAGGGATCTTCTTCGAAGAGATCGAACTCCTGCGGTTCCGCGGACAGCGGTCTATACGTTGCTACTGCTGTGCTGTTACTATTTTTGATGTGATTATTCTTGATGAACTTTTCTGTTACTGCATCGAGATGGTGCTCCGTTAAAAGAGAGTCCCGGGCTAGTTGTGCGATTGTGGATCCTTGTGTAGCTCCGGTAGATACTTTAATACTCGAGAGCTGTTCCCTCGTTGTTGACACTGGGCGACACGGAGCTTCCAGTTCCGGGGCCTCGTCTTGGAGGAGAGATGCTAGAGAAGCCATTTTTGAGGGTGGTGGGCGGGAAGAAAAAATTAGCTACTGTTACGACAATATTAGGTCGAGCGCTGAAGTTCCTTACCCATGGACGCCGGTAGGATAGATTATGAGGAGTAGGAAGGGTGGCGTTCGATCACATAAGCTAGACTGCCATTATGACCAAACCACGCCAGCCTTCATAAAGTCCTCTAGCTAATCCGAAGTCGAACACACTAAGTTGCAAGAAAAGGCTAGCTGAACGCTAGCTAAAGTCAGATCTTTATCGCCCTTATTTTTCTTAGGACGCTGTAAATGCGAGAAGGTCTCCCCACCGGCTTAGTTTTAGGTTTACGGACTAGAGGCCTGACGCCTCGATGACCTATATGAGCGAGGGCGTGACTAGACTCCGGTATAACCAGAGCTCAATTAAACACTACCCGAAAGTCAAGCAAGTGATCCTACCCAAACAAAAAACATCGCGTAGACGATGGTCGCCCATGTAAAACGCGAAGCTTGACTGAGTAAAGGATAGCATTTATACGAGGAGATCTTAGTATTTGACTGGGGAGGGTGCAGTGGTCATCTCTGCTCACGACTGGCTTGCTAGCCAATTAAGCTACGACAATATTAGGTCGAGCACTGAAGTTCCTTACCCATGGACGCCGGTAGGATAGATTATGAGGAGTAGGAAGGGTGGCGTTCGATCACATAAGCTAGACTGCCAATATTATAATATTTATAAGGAATCTGACAAGAATCTACATGATCTAGCTCGGAAAGTACATCAAAAGTGACAATTCAATTTGAATTCTCCATCTCCAACAACCATAACATGTTGCCTCCTCGAGCCGCCACAATACTGAACGCGTGCCAATCGCATGAACGAGCCAGAGCATGTAGCATTGTGTCTCTATTGGCCACGTCGATTACATCACTGAGGAAAAGAAGCGGACTCGGTTCTAGTCCTCGACGTTCCAGGGCACGGACCAGCAATGGGTCGTCTAGTAGATCCTGAGAGGTCCTTCTTCCTTTCGAAGATTCTGCTGGTGCCTTGGGATTAGCATGCGATGCCATCGTGAAAATGATATGAGCAGGCGCTTTGGTCACAAAGGTGGCTAGCTGTCTATCTGCCTCTCGTGCTGATTCCATATTCCGACGACCAGCTCCAATGGATCTGCGTCTGCCGCCGGCACCTAGTGCTCTACTCATGGAAGGAGGCGTAGGCGGGCCAGCTGCGCCTGGTGCGCCAAAACTCATGGAACAAGGCGTTGTAGCTTGCCTGACGCCTCCTGCGCCAGAAGAACAACTAGTTGTAATAGTACCAGAATCCACTACGAGTCCTGATCCTGATGTTGCGAATCTACTGGAACTAGTAGAATAAAGGGGAGCTGCACGTTTAGTTGAACTGGAAGAAGGATGTTCTTCACGTTGAATTCCACTTCCAGGATGATATGAATGTGAAGACTGACTTTTAAGGTCATTAAGCACCAGGTCAGGGTGTTGTAGTTGAACTTGAAGGTCCTCGGGATGCAATTGTTGAAAGTCGATCTTTGGGGGACTACTCACGGTCGCGTCAGAGTCCACGGTATTCGTTCTAGTCCAGGTTTTTGCACCACCTCCACTTCCAACGTTATGGCTAGCAGCAGCAGTAGCGGCAACGTTGCCACTACTACCAGCCACTTCTGTCGCAGTCGGTGGAGCATTTTTAGCCTGTGAATGATCCATAGCCCAACGGCGACCTTGCTTGTCCTTCAAAACCAATCCATGCCCCGACTTTGTATCGACCTTGTTCGGTGTGGTGTTGTTACCCCCAGTTTGCTTTTGCGAGGACGTGTCTTCACCAGCAGCACCAGGAAGTAGAAGATGGGTATTACTATCAGGTGGTCGCGGTCCTTCTTCTAGCTGAGATGATGACGAAATGTACACAGGTATAGGAAGAGAAGGCGATTGACAACTACTCCATCTGGAGGGACTCTTTACCGACGGCGGGGTGGGACTGGGCCCATCAGGGCAGGTGGCTTGTGATTGTAGAGCTGAAGGTCTAGGGCGACGCAGATCAAAGCCAGCTATTTTCTGATGTAGTTGCTGCTGTGGTTCTATTTGTCTACTAGTACTGATCTCTATGTCAACATTTGGAGGCAGTGCTGCTAATTGTGCATGAGTAGTATCTTCAGGAGCATTGACGGTTGAGAGATGAGTTGTTAATGCATAATTAACCGTTGTTTTACGGGCGTCTTTTAAGTTTAACCCACCAAGAGCAGATGCAGAAGCCTCACAACTAGCAGTCACCAACTGCGCCGTCGCACCAAGTTCATCTGATCTCGTCTCTTCTTCAGAAGTGCGGCTTCCCCTATTTGAGCTACTTTTGTGCATGAAACTTGTACGAGTGTGCGAAGCATCAATCTTTTGTAGAACTAGAACGTCCCGAATTGCTCTAGCTGATAGGTCCAATTCATCTACATCTCGTGTTTTTTTCCCCACAGCCACAGGCCCTCCTCCAGCTGCACGTGCGACGACCTGTACCGAAGCCGCCCTAGTACCACCAGCAGCAGCTCTTTCCTTCAGTTTTCGCATATCTGCAGATGTAGAAGAAGAAACTCCTAGTTGTAGATTGGGCACAGCAGAAGCGGATCGAATGTGATCGCGAATGTGATCACGGATATCTTCTAGAGACTGACGGCGGCAGACACTGGTCAGTATGTCAAAACCACTTTTCGTGCGGGGGCGGGGACCACGAGGGGTCGAAGGTTTTCTTGGTGTCATCTGTTGCTCAGACGTTTTTCTTCTAGCAAACCCTCCAGGTTGTTTCTTTGTTTCAGGTGGTCGAGGCAGAAATGTAGGTGTCAGACCCTGGAGGTGGTCAACATGTTGTGATGTCCTGCTGCTGTTTTGCCCGAACTTCAGCGTATGAACTGTTGCTTCTTTCGCAATTGCCGAAGGAGGTTTGTGGGCGTGAGCATGAAACCAGGGAGGAGGACCGTCCACATGCCGCGCAGCTTCTTGACCTCCAGCAACACGAGAACCACCACTACTGAGCCACATCGACATCGGATCCCCACGATGCATCTGGTTAGCCCACTCGTGCAATACCACAGGCGGAACGTCTTCCCACCTCAGAAAGCCCCGTCTGAACATAGATTTGAGCATTGTCGCGTCTTTAGGTGCTACTGATAAATCTACGGCGTCCTCTCTGGTCATGCGTGCGAACCATTCACGGACATAGCTGGCAAACAAAGCATGTTTATCTGGATCTAACTCCTGTTTCGGAGGAATGAAAAATCCAACCTTCTTTTGATGATGTTCTTGAGGTTGAGGCCTGTCATTGTCCTCATGCGCCTTCTCGGTTCTTGCTTGAGTTTGCGTATTCTGGGTTAGTGGTGGCATTGGTACAATTGGTTGTGAACGAGGTTCTTGCTCTGGTTGTGAAGCGGACAATGAAGAGGCATCAGCTTCTCCTCCTGCGGATCGTTCACCCGAAGAAGAAGGAGAAGCTGATGCCGAAGGAGGAGAAGCTTCACTCTCCGGCGCGGCCCGCTCAAGAATTTTTCGCCTACCTTCTCCTCTATCACCTGCTGCAGGACTGCATTCACAATCAGGTTGAAGATGGAGATGGACATCTCCCTTCAGATATGCAGGAGGCCTCCACTCCTCTTCTGCAGCTGGGTTACACGTAAGAACATCTCTGCCTCCTCCAACCCTAGGTGACGAAGGACTAGCTTCTCCAACTCCTCTGGTCCTACATGATGAGGGACTTGCGCATGATGGGGGATCATCGCTGTAAAAGCTCCTGTTGTGAGCACGGTCTTTGTCTTTGACTGTAGTTGGCGTTGGGCCTCCCTCTTCTCCATCCCCGAGTAGTTTCTGATCAACTCGCCTTCCTCGTGAAGTGGTCGTCGGTCTTCCTGATGGTGACGTTGGAGGAGTAGGTGTTTCTATCAATCCTCCGAGTTCGTCAGGACCGCGACTGGGCAATAGCGTCTTAGTAGCTGCCTCTTCCAGTTTCAATGTCGAGGCGGGAGACAGCAGGCGTAAGCCATTGACTTGGAATTTGTTCTCGAGGACAACATGTCTTACTAGCATAAGTTGCATGAAAAAGTTGTAAACAAACAAAAACATTTTGTAGTTCACAACAGGCACTACAGGCATCTAATTCTTGTAAATTCTTGGTTGCAACGTCTTTACTCATTCATATTCTTATAAAGAGCGCTTGTTCTTTCTTATCTAGTGGCCCTGGTCGTGGAAGAAATATCAGGCTCTTTTTGAAAATTTCATTTACGAAGGAAAAAGCTGTACATAGATGCGCCAAGTGTTAGCCTGGGTCGGGAAACTTCTTGTTCTAACTTCGTAAAAAAATCCGAGACCTGCTGTTAGTTCTTTTTGCAGGTATGTCGTGGATGTCATTACAGGTTTTCTCTGGAGTAGCTTTTTGTTATTGGAACCGAAAGCATGATTACCACACATGATCCATGTTGGAAGTGCTGTAGAGTCATCGAAAACTTCGACTGATCACCCCTTCAGAGGGTGAGGAGTATTCGTGTTGCTTCATCATATTGTGAGCAACAGAGAACGTAGAGGTGCCTTGCCTCATTGTCTGGCAGTCTGCGATTATATGGGCGAGCAGTATTGACTGCTGACATCTGAACCTATCCAGACAAAGGAAAAGGCTTTTCTTCTCTCAGGAACAGTTCTATCGCGATCACCCTTCTCATACTCAATCTTTCACCCCTCCCTCACCAGCAAAGCATACAAGCTTCCCCCAAATGCGAAAATAGGGTAAATCGCCACACACGACAGTGCGTAGACGTAGTTCTTTTCAAAGTAATCGTGGAGCCAACTCAGAATAGAGGGAAACAAAGCTGAATGCAAAACCATCAATGATTTCGCCACTGCGCTGATGTTCCCATTATGTTCTCTGCCAAACGCAGTGGCATACGACGCTCCCTGAATGATCATGGTCAGACCAGCACTGGTACCAAGCAAAATCGCGATCACACAAAGCATGAGGGTCTGAAGGTCGGGAGAGAGAGATGTTGTATTCTCAGTAGTAGTCGTGACAGCGGTAGGACCATGTGCTTCCTTCTCTAAGATCAAGTCGTTGGCAATGTGATGATGTCGTTCTCGCGAGAGGTGCATATTCTTGCTCTGGTTCTCTCCCGCTGATGGAGGACGGACTGGTACATTGGCGTTGCCCTCCAAATCCAAATCTATGTCGTCAAAATACATCTTCAGCAATAATGTCATCCCAAAGTAAGCCAGCGTCATGAACCCATTGTGAAAGAGGCAGAGAGCCTGGAAGGAGAAGACGCCTCGATCATTGCTGTAGGCTGCAAGGACTGCAGCTATGCTCGCAGACAGGGACATCGTCGCGTAGAAAGCCGAGAGGGAATCGCGGAAGGGATAGAAGATCGAATCTAAATGGATGAAAACGGAAGCCAGACAACCACCGCTGACGCCATTTGTAGTAGCAAACACCCAGAAATCAACTGTATGTAGAGCTTGTGTGAGGGTGAAATTGCGTTCGGCAGAGATGAGAGATTTTCCATTTCCACTGATTTCATTTCCATCGTAGTGGTCGTTGATATTGTTCATCTTCTTCTGCATCTTGTTACTGCTGTGGCCACCTGCCCTAACATTCGTCGTGTTGCAAGACGAATTAGAAGATCCACTCGTCCCCATGGTGGAATTTTTACTCCTCATGCTCACGATTTGTTTCCTCCTTCGATTCCCTTCTGCTACGTTGAAAAAATCTGCTGACGGGAATTCAGGTACCAGAGTTGCATCTCGATTGCGGCGAAAGAAGCGTCTACGTCGTGGACTCCTGTTGTTTCTTAGCACATCTTCTGCTTTATTACTGTTCTCGTTTGCAGATGAAGTTGTAGTAGTTGAATCCGAGGAGTCGTTTTCGCCTTCTATTGCAGAAGAGAGAGAAGAAAGGAAAGAAGGATGGTGCGACGCAGAAGATGAAGTATTTTTGCTTTTCGTATGGTGACCATGATTACTCGGCTCTTCTTCTATCCCTTCGTCAGGTATCGTCGTCATTTTACTGTATTTTTTCCCTTTCAGGGTTTTCCACGGCGGCACTACATTTTGAAGCATGCTGGATGAAGAGGATGCCGGAGGTGCATTCCTCGTCAATATGGATCCGTTTGCTCCATTTCCAGTTACGCCATTCATGATCTTGTTCCTCGTGTTAGATATTTTGCTTCCTATTTTATTCCCTAAATCTTCCAAAAAGACCTTACCAACCAACGCTGGCGCACGAGTCAACGGTGCACGACGCAGAAAAGCTTCTTCGCCTGGCACGGAAGTGGTATTCGTTGACGTTGTACAACTTGTACTTGTTTTTATAGTAGAAGTAGAACAAGTAGCAGGTAGTTGTAATTTAGAAGATGGAGTTCCTCTATCAACTGCCATTGCGTGGTCTCTATGATCCCTGTTACTGGTAGAACCAAACTTCTGATCTAGTTTTTGATAGCTAGTTTTCCAGGCATTGGCGCGTCGCTTCAGCGCGTCTTTCAAAAGTTGCCGACGTGTGGCAAAAGAGGTTGTTGTACTTGATGAGGATGAAGATGCTCCAGCTCCTCCTGTTTTGCCCTTAGGAGCGTGCTGAAGCTGAAGATTACTAGAAGGATTATTTGCGTGTTGTATTCTTGGTTCTGCATTTGTGTTGTAGATGTAGTGGTCGTCTTCTTCTACAGCAAATATTTCCCTGAAGATACAACTAGGTTTATCGTTATCCTCTTCTTGACCTGGAGGTCCTCCACCATGAGGGCCCCAGACAACCTCATGATCATCCTCAGCATTCGCTATCCTAGTTTCTGCAATGGCACCAGAGTCACGCAGCTGTTCGAGGATAGCAGGTTTGTCGTGTGGTTTTTTAGATGTCGTCGTAGAAGGAAGTGCTGTTGAAGCAGAAGTAGAATGAGGCAAAATTATATTCACAACAACTGACGCGGTATTGACAGCATCATTGGTGTCAGCAGACGGAGGCAGCTCCGCACTGGTGCCTTTTGAAGACTTAGGTGCGAAGAGTCGAGTCTTTACGGCACCAGCGCCAGCTTTGAGGCGACTGGCAAAAGACGTAGAGGATGCGTGTTGTTGTTCACCAACTTTCACAACGTGCGCCGCACCGGCAGCTTTCTTCTTCGTATCCGGAGAAGCGTCAGAATTTTCAAACACGGAATCGTTCATAATCGCATCTATAGCGTTGGTCGGATGCATAGCTGACGTGCCTCTGTAAGCTTCTTCCCGCTCGTTGTGAAACAGACTGAGAGGATCGTTATCTTCCCTCTTGGTATTGTTCTGCTCAGGTGCGTCATGGTTTTCTTCTTGTTCATTCTGCACGGTCTCTTGAGTTGCTTCGCTGGCGCTAGGCCCATCAGCGTCGCCTATGCCGTCTCCTACTGGGATAGTTGAAAGCTGCGACACTTCTGCCCTAGCATCGGCGATCTCCTCCGCTGCTGCTTGCGCTGTTGGATCTACTGCGTCAGCATGGTTCAAATTCTCCACCAGGACGTTAGTGCTAGAACCTTCTTGTGATTTAATACCTTGCGCGCCAGGAACTAGTACTGCAGCTTTATTTCCATTTTCGGGTAGGCTGCCACTATTGCTGTTGGTATCTTTACTCTTCACTTCCTGCTCAGGCTTCTGGTCTTTCTCCCCGTCCGATTCTAGCAGGAACTTTTGCCGAAATCTACCTTTTGCTCCAACATTTTGGAGTATCCGGTTATCTGGGTCTTGCGCTGGGTCCTGGACTTCTCGGTAATGCGGTTTCCTTCTCCGCCTACGGCTTCGCGTACGATGATCCCTTCTGGACGATGCTCTTGGTGCTTTCTGCGACGCGTGGTAGTTAGAGCAAGACTTAGACCGAGAAAACATAATGGGCGCAAGGCAACTGCAGCTCACGAAGATTATTATAGCGGAGTAATTGATAAGGTTCGCCGGCTCGCATGGCATGGAAGTGCATGGATCGCATGGAGTTGCATGGAGCTAAAGGAGGCGCTTCTTGCGTCCCATATGGGTCTGCGCTCCATGCACTCCATGCGCGCTATAAAGAGCTGCTCTGGTATAATCTTCTTCCGATGTACATCAACGGGCAAGTGAAAATAATCAACTTCTTTCTTAACACCTACAGCCCCTTTGATCCCCATCTTCAGCCCTCTACGCAACTTCCACCCACTCCCGACTTCATCTTCAAGGCCTATAATTGGTCCTCTTCCGTCAGGCAAAACGCCGTAGTCTTCGGGTCGATTCGGTATGAAGAGGAACACTAAGGGCACCATCGCAAACACCTCCACTTCCCCTAATAGAGTGTAGGTCTTGCGCCACGACTCGAAATATTCGGTCAATGCGAAAACGATGCCTGCAGCTCCGCCGAAAATAGCTAGTGCCAGTACGAACTGAACGCAGGCCATGACTTGGACGCGCTTCTCGACAAACCAGAAAATGAATGCACCAGGCTACGAGGTGAATGCACCAGGCTACGAGGGTCGTGGGGGGAAATGCTCAGGCTGGTGATGGAGGTGGAAGACAGTGGAAACATTCTAACTCAAGAACAAGTAACTAGCAACGAACTAGGCCAAGCTTCGTAGCTAGGACTAATGCAAAGCTGACAACTAGGCCAAGCTTCGTAGCTAGGACTAATGCAATCGTGAAAAAGGAACATTTTTTTTCTATGTTGACGATTTCTAGTACATTCATATGAAGATGCCGCTAGACGTGCTGAATAGTTATACGACAGCACATAAATTGGTTTATCGTATTCATCGAGACCAGATACGTCCCACCTTGGCCGAAAAATCGTAGCAGGTAAAACCAAAACGCAACGTCCAGCCTCGTACTCGAGAAGGCAGCATAGCCAAAGCAAGCTACGCCGAAAATGTTAGAGAGTGACACGATCTACTCTCACGTGTCGAACTCGGATCATCGATCGACATTTCATTTTTTCTCAGGCTCAAAAGGTGGAGACTTCCAATTTGAACAATTTGATATTCCTTTTTCTTTTCAACATCTTCATCTCATAAGCAACCCCACATACGCCAAAAACGCCTTTCGTGGTCCTGCCTTGTCAATAAACTGGCCCAACAGTGGCAATGTGCAGGCAGACACCAGTGTCGCAATGGTGTAGAGGATTGAGACTGTTGCTCGATCGGAGTCTAAATCCTCAACCAAGTGCGAAATTGTGGTGCCCAAAGTGCCTGCCTGTCCTGGAGAACTCAGGATTGCGCCTAAGGTAGCAACCACAGCCACAATGTAGCCATATGTGCGAGGCAGGGATTCGATCAAGAGGAGGTACAGCATCTTGATGATGTGGCTGGTGTGCCTGTGTGCCTGTGGAAGTGGTTACTAGTCACATTTTCGTGTTAGGACGAAGTGCCGTTCTTAGGGTAAATATGCTCGAAGATGGACTAGGTCGACAGTCTGTATTCTCGAAGCCGCTAGTGGAGCTGCTCTATGCTGCCCATGATTGTGTTAGCCAGTTAAAGTCTAAAATTTCAGATGAGCTGTCAGTAGTCGGTATCATCTCTTGCATCTCATCAGTACTTCCACTGAGCACCGTCCACGGATACGATTTCTGCTTCGCGTGCTCCGTCTAGCTTGTTGGGGCCCTCCCTGTCTCTCTCGACTCTCCCAAAACAATACAAGTACAACACAATGCAATACAATAAACTCCCCGGGCCCGGGTGCCCCGGGAGACGTTAAGGAAGGGAAAAGGATACTTTAGGGACGTGGGTGGGGGTGAATGGTTTCACAAGGTGAAACGGGCGCCCGAGGGGCGCGCACTCCCCTCCGCGTCGCGGGAAAGGGGAGCGGGGGCGCGGTGATTTTATATACAAGAGGAAGGCGGCAGCACTGCCACCGGTGTCCGCGGTTTTTTTCTTCTCTTCCGTCTCATTGTCCCGCTCGTGGCTCTGTGTCCGGACTCTAGCGAACAACAAGAACAAAGCAAAACGGAGGCCCGCGAGGGTCGTCCGCACATTATAGCGAAAAAAAGGGGGCCCCGTTCCCATAGTAAGAACAAGCAACGAGGAGGCGCCGGCGGGCAGTGAAACACGCACCACCACGGGCACCATCTTCAACGCGTTGGCCATAGCTGGCGCGGGTGTTCGTGGCTTTTTTCTCCTTTTCTCCCTCTTTGTCCCGTTCGTGGCCTTGGGTCCGGACCATGGCGAACAACAAGCACAAAGGAAACAGAGCGGAGGCCCGCGCGGGTCGTCTGCAAATTATAGCGAAAAAGGGGGGGCCGTGTTCCCAAGATGGTGACAAGAGTAAGCAACCAGGAGGCGCCGGCGGGCAGTTAAACACGCGCCACCACGGGCGCCATCTTCAACGCGTTGGCCATAGCTGGCGCGGGTGTCCGCGGGTTTTTTCTTCTCTTCTGTCTCTCTGTCCCGTTCGTGGCTTTGTGTCTGAACTATGGCGAACAACAAGAACAAGCAAAGGAACGCGGAGGCCCGCGAGGGTCGTCCGCAAATTATAGCGAAAAAGAGGGGACCTTGCTCCCATAGTAAGAACAAGCAACGAGGAGGCGCCGGCGGGCAGTGAAACACGCACCACCACGGGCACCACCTTCAACGCGCTGGCCATAGCTGGCGCGGGTGTTCGTGGCCTTTTTCTTCTTTTCTCCCTCTCTGTCCCGTTCGTGGCCTTGGGTCCGAACAATAGCGAACAACAAGAACAAAGGAAACAAAGCGGAGGCCCGCGAGGGTCGGCCGCAAATTATAGCGAAAAAAGGGGGGCCGTGTTCCCAAGATGGTGACAAGAGTGAGCAACCAGGAGGCGCCGGCGGGCAGTTAAACACGCACCACCACGGGCGCCATTTTCAACGCGTTGGCCATAGCTGGCGCGGGTGTCCGCGGTTTTTTTCTTCTCTTCTGTCTCTTTGTCCCGTTCGTGGCCTTGTGTCCGAACTATAGCGAACAACAAGAACAAAGCAAAACGGAGGCCCGCGAGGGTCGCCCGCAAATTATAGCGAAAAAAAGGGGACCCCGTTCCCATAGTGAGAACAAGCAACCAAGAGGCGCCGGCGGGCAGTGAAACACGCACCACCACGGGCACCATTTTCAACGCGTTGGCCATAGCTGGCGCGGGTGTTCGCGGTTTTTTTCTTCTCTTTTGTCTCTTTGTCCCGTTCGTGGCCATGGGTCCGAACTACAGCGAACAACAAGAACAAAGCAAACAAAGCGGAGGCCCGCAAGGGTCGCCGGCAAATTATAGCGAAAAAAAGGGGGCCCCGTTCCCATAGTAAGAACAAGCAACCAAGAGGCGCCGGCGGGCAGTGAAGCGCGCACCACCACGGGCACCATTTTCAACGCGTTGGCCATAGCTGGCGCGGGTGTTCGCGGTTTTTTTCTTCTCTTTTGTCTCTTTGTCCCGTTCGTGGCCATGGGTCCGAACTACAGCGAACAACAAGAACAAAGCAAACAAAGCGGAGGCCCGCGAGGGCCGTCCGCAAAATATAGCGAAAAAAAGGGGGCCCCGTTCCCAGAGTAAGAACAAGCAACCAAGAGGCGCCGGCGGGCAGTGAAACGCGCACCACCACGGGCACCATTTTCAACGCGTTGGCCATAGCTGGCGCGGGTGTTCGCGGTTTTTTTCTTCTCTTTTGTCTCTTTGTCTCGTTCGTGGCCGTGGGTCCGAACTATAGCGGACAACAAGAACAAAGCAAACAAAGCGGAGGCCCGCAAGGGTCGCCGGCAAATTATAGCGAAAAAAAGGGGACCCCGTTCCCATAGTAAGAACAAGCAACCAAGAGGCGCCGGCGGGCAGTGAAACGCGCACCACCACGGGCACCAGTTTCAACGCGTTGGCCATAGCTGGCGCGGGTGTTCGTGGTTTTTTTCTTTTTTTCTGTCTTTTTGTCCCGTTCGTGGCCATGGGTCCGAACCATAGCGAACAACAAGAACAAAGCAAACAAAGCGGAGGCCCGCGAGGGTCGTCCGCAAAATATAGCGAAAAAAGGGGGGCCGTGTTCCCAAGATGGTAACAGGGGCCGACCGAGTCCCCGAAAATCGACAAAGAGAGATCCGCTAAAGAAACCTACGCGCAAGGCCAAGAATCTGAGCAGATCCGCGCCACAGATCCCAAAAAGTCCGGCGCAATGCCATAAGGACGATTGCCGAACAGGCCCAGAGAATGCGCGGGCGCTGGCAGTCTTCTGGCGTTGCGCTTGTTCTCGTCTGTCGTGGCTTGTCTAGCAGTTCTTGCCTTTAGAGCTCGAGCGAAAACGTAAAGGAAACGGATCCCAAAAAATCGACAAAGGCTCACCCAAATTCCCAAGGGTGAACAGATCCAAAGAAGAGGCGGACCGAGTCCCCGAAAATCGACAGAGAAAGATCCGCCAAGGAAACCTACCGGCAAGGCCAAGAATCTGAGCAGACCCGCGCCACAGATCCCAAAAAGTCCGGCCTAATGCCATAAGAATGACCGCCGAACAGGCCCAAAAAATGCGCGGGCGCTGGCAGTCTTCTGGCGTTGCGCTTGTTCTCGTCTGTTGTGGCTTGTCTGGCGGTTCTCCCTTTAGAGCTCGAGCGAAAACGTAAAGGAAACGGATCCCAAAAATCGACAAAGGCCCACTTAAGTCCCAAGATCTTAGCAGGAGGTGCGGCAGAGCTCTCCCACAGATCTTAGCAAAGTTCTCGACACCAGCCCCAAGGGTGAACAGATCCAAAGAAGGCACAGGCGCCGAGGGTGCTCAGCTTGCTCGCGCTTCTGTTGCTTTCGTTTGTCGCGGCGGGCTGGGGTGGTTCGTTCCTTTGGAAATCTATCGAAATCGTATAAGACGCCGGCCCCGTAAAATGATGAAGCAAGATCCACGAAATTCGCAGCGCCAAGAGGCTGAGCGGGTTCGTTTTTAAATCCAAACCAAACGCGCGACGCGCGGCCCCGTAGATCCAAAATATGAAAAGGGCACCCCAGTACTTTCCAGCAGTGAAAACGATCACGGTAACACCGATCCAAACGAGAAGCCCCGCGGCAGACTGATCCAAAGAAATGGGGCGCGAAGTGTATCTCCTGTCGTCATGTTCGCGGCGTGTCGATCGTTAAGCAAACCCCCTCAAATAGCGGCGGAAGGTATACACGCTAGAGGCGGGGCGCGTCTCATTAATTTCCCCGCGCCATGTTCTTGCCATCTTCTTGCTACAAAGTCAGGGCGTAGAGTTTTTCTGGTTTTTTCGTCGGTTTTCCCCGCTAAAGGCACTAAGTTTTTGCATTGTTTTCAAAATGACTTCGCCGACGATGGAAGCGCTGCGCAAGTGCGTGGGCGGCAGCCGGTTGGGTGTGACGTGGGTGGAACCGGATGAGGGGGCCGCTTCTCCTTCTC